TACTAGCAAATAAAATTACAAAAGTTTTTAAAATGAATTCTACATTTTTTTTTGTCAAGATGAAACAATTTTGATTTTTTGGTTATTTTTTTATAAAATATAAAATGCATATCCCGACCGGGTCACCGGGTTTGGCTGATTTTGTCCGGGTTCTGACTAGGTCTGATGCATGACCGGTCCAATGCTTGACCCGAACCGATCTAAAGACCGGTTTCCCAGTCGACCTGGCCGGGTCTGGCTGGGCTTCACAACAGTGGCTACGACTGAAAGCGAATTTGGTAGCCAATGATTTCGTGATACGTGGCACACTTTCGCAAGAAAAGCTGACTGTCATGTGTCTCAATTCACTATGACTGTTAGTGAATTTGGTAGCCAATAATTTCGTGACACGTGGCACACTTTCACAAGAAAAACTGATTGAACGAAGTTCGCTACGAGGGTCGAGGGGTAACGAACTTGGTGTGCTATGTGGCACAATCTCGTTGCCCGATCATAATTAATGTATCAATCATAATCACAATCAAAAAAGGAAAAAGAAGGAAAATGATATTTAATTAATGTACCAATCACTAATCACAATTAATATACCAATCACAATTAGTGTACCAATGGGATAAATTTTTGATTGTATCAATCACAATTAATATATCAATCACAAATTACTGCGGAAGGCCATAAATTTTAATTCGAATATCCAAATCAGATGATTATTTATTTTATTTTACATAACTTTTCGAGATCTACGTAATGACACCCTATTTGACATATTTCATCTGTGACAAATATCGTTCGAACAATGGTATCACAAACATTTAATGTACCAATCACCAATTTTGATTAATGTACCAATCTTCAATACATTAATTGTGATCAAAATTAATTGTAATTGATAATTGATACATTAATTGTGATTGTTACATTAATTAAATAACTCATTTCCTTTGTTTTTTTTATTGTGATTGGTACATTAATTCTGATCGAGCACCGAGATTGTGCTACATAGCGCACCAAGTTCACTATCCATGGTAGCAAACTTAGTCTAATAAATTTTTACTGCGAAAGTGTGTAGAGAACTTGGACAAGTAATAGTCACCTTTTTCTGCAGAAGTATATCATGTGTCAAGAAATTATTCGCTACTAAGTTTGTTACTAATCATAATGAATGTCAATGTATGAAAATCTGATAAATTTTACTATTTGCGCAGTAGTTTGATATATAAATGCCAAAAATATGCAAAATTCGTCGGTGTTCCAACTATTGAATAGTGTGACTATGTGAGAGTAACATCATACGGGACTATTCGGTATTCACCAAAAAAAGTCTTGAATTTTATCATTGAACATCTTAAATGATAGCATGATTAGGAAGGAAATGAAGCTGGGACACTTGGCAGAAAACTGTCGGTCACAGTGACTTCAACTTTGAGGCACATCTAATCAAATAAAAACGTGATGGCCTTGCTTCACTTACCTCCTTTAGTCCTTGTTCACTTAAATTGTCTTTATGGTGCCAAATGCTTAGAGCGAATGAGATGTCAAGAAAGTTATCAAAAAGCATTATGTACATCCAGCTAAAAAGAGTTTGTTTCCTCTAGTAAGAGGTTTCAAATTCAAGTATTAATGTTCCCAATATTGAATTAAAAAAAAAAAATTAATACCAAAATTGCGTGTCCCTCGTTCATCAGCCCCACCGATAGAGTTAACAAAAAAAACAATAAATTGTTTTTGAACTTATTTTTTCAATTTCTCTAGTTATTTTACGGAAAGTGAGGTCTGTCTTGAAAAATGTGGGAAATGGAGTTGTTATAGACCCATATAAATAACCTATTAAGTGATATGTTCAACAAGGAACATTCAAGGTCTGAATCAATAATAATTATGGATAGATATTCATCAAGGATACTAATCCTAATACGACAGCATAGCAAGCAGGTCTGGGCCCTTATCAGAAGCATCAAAGGCCTATCCACGCTACCCACATGTAATCTCTATAAATACAAGGTAAACCCTAAAGGTACGGTACGCTCCTTCTCTTACTGTTATGTTGTCACTGTGCGCACACACTCGCAATTGGCTAATGTCGTTATAGTATTCTGTGCACAATGATCTGCTTGACTCAATGGTATCTCTTTCATAGATACATTGGAGAGGACACTAGATCCAAAAAAAACCTACCAACCTTTTGAGCTGGATATCTCTGTCTCAAGGACAGAACATGAGTATTTTGTAATGGACGTATGGTTGTAATTAGATATTCAATTTCCTTTTTACTTTCTAGTTACAATTTTTGGTTGCCCTTAGTGAAATAAAAGGCAAACAGCTATACACCCCCCCTCCCCCCATATTAGACTTACTATTTATTAATTATATGGATGTTACATCAGCCGTACAAGTTCTTCAAATGGTTCCTAATCGTATAAAAATTCCTTTGCCTCTTCGTGTTGATCAAATGGAAATTCATTTACCGAAAACAAATATTTTCTTTCTTTCATTTTTTTTTTTTACTGATAAAATAAAAATGTGGTTTCAGCTATATAACCTACGTTTTTGTTTATTTCATTATAAACAATACACAAGGCTGTTTTCTTGTGTTAGTTCTACCAACCCTTATTTATTGGTAGCAATTGATCACAGTGACGGTAAAGCGTGATTTTAAGCGAACCTCACAACGTTAAGGATTTGAATCATCGAGTTATTATTTTAAAAAGAAAAAGAAAAGGAAAAACTTTATCGAACTATTAACCAAGCCCAAAGTTACATATGCAATCTTTCAAAAAAAAGAAGAGAGAGTTACATATGCAAGTGTTTCTATCAAAAGAAGAATAATAGAGGGATAAGGCTATAAAGTCCTACCAGAAAAAGGGTTGTGGGATAGCCACGGGTTGAATTCATCCGCTGCTAGTTTTGGGTCACAAGACATTTCAGATAGGATAAGGCACACATTGTTATAATAATAATAAAAAGAATCCGCTGCCGATTTTGGTTCACAAGAAATTACAGATAAGATAAGGCATAAATTGTTATAATAATAATAATAAAAAGAAAAAAAAAAGATAAATCTCAAGTCGCTTATAGAAGGAGACTTTCCTCAAAAAAAATGGGCTACCTTTTATGTTTCTAGCCCAATCTCGAGGCAGTGGGTTTGTATCCTCTTCCAGTTGATGGCCATACGCTGCCCTAATGAGGACTTTAAAATAACCGAATGCCTCATGGCTGAAAGATGGGCTTATTAGCCCAAAAGTACCTCACTGCTTAGTTTTTACTTTAGTATCCAGTTTATAGCTCAAAATTTTATTTTATTTTATTAAAGACACTCAGTATCTCTCTTTTTAGAAATTAGATATAGCGTTTCCAATGCCAATAAAAAGTAACTGGTATTTAACATCCAGAAAACTGCCAAATAAATTGCACAGGGCTTATTCTCAAAAAAATAAAAATAAAAAATGTGATTTTTGTTTATTTTGTAAAAGTAAAAGTTATTTATGTTTGGATACGGTACTTGAAAAAAAAAAAAAAAAAAAAACTTTTCAGGTCACTCTTACTAATTTCTTCAAACGGAGTCTTAGTTGCTATACTGAGACATTGACCACAAGACCACCTATGGGGGTAAAAAAAAATTGACAAAAATGCCACGACACCAAACTTGTTATAATTGCCAACGAATTTGATTATATCAAGTGACACGTTTTCTGAGGGGTTCAAACTCACTACCAAGTGGCACAGTGGTCAATATTCTTACTATACTCACCTTTTTTCTTGTATCCCCCTCCCCCTTCTCCATCCTCTCTCTCTTAAGTTTATTTTGACTTGGAACCACTGTGTAGTCACCAATATCCTTCCCAACCCCTTCATAAGATAAGGATAATCAATATCACTTACACCTATAAAGGCAACGTCGCCACCACTATAAATACCCTTATCATCATTATTTCCACCATTTGAATCTGCACCATGGTGTATTTAGTAGCTATCACATCATTGAAATACATCTCAAGCATATTTAGACTTATGGAAATCTCATTCCTAAACTTATCTAGCTTTGAGTTAATATCTCAAGTAAAATAGAGGGGGATAAAAAAAAATAAGGTAATGCTAAGGTTTGAGAATATGAAGGATAAGGAATGTAATTATTAAAATTAACTAGGATATTTTTATCTAAAATGTATTTTTGAATAACTTTTCTATAACCTAAGAATTGATTTGTTTCCCCCAAAAGATCAAAAAATTATCTTAAAAAACACAACTTGTGAAAAAAATAATATCCAAACATACTAAAATATATATTATGCTTTATTTATTTTTTTAAAACTAAAAGCACATCCAATTGAGCACCTGGCGCAGTAGAGAGAATAGTAGGCAATATTGCTGTTTTGATAGTTTCTGTAACTGCATAATGCATTTGTAACAGTAATAGGGGACACGAGTAAAATTTATCAACGGGATCAATCACTTGGTATCACATGAGCTAGAATTCTTAAACATTGGGTCCCATTTATGACCATAGAATATTGTTGGGAGTTAGTTGATATCTTCATTAAGATCCTCTATCTACTCATCTCTAACGCTAATTAATTCTAACCATACTCTAATTATGGTGATGCCATTCATCATATATTTGATAGGTTTCAGTCTCAAAACCAGCATGTGTTTGTCAACTCTAGCAATCTGTTCCATGATAATCGGAATTTTAATTTTGCTTACAGGAAGATTGGTCGGAATAGGAAAGGTAATAATAAGTTACTAGCACCGTGAAGTGATATATGTGTAAGGGGATTAGATTTCTCAATCTATCTCCGACAGATATATAATGTTGTGGAACCCATCACTTAAATAAATAAATAAAAAGGAAATTATTTTCTACAATACTTCTTATGCACAAAAACATAAAAAGACACGTCTGTAATTTTTATTTTTTATTTATTTTTAACTTGTGGGCTCCATATTTTTTATTAGTGTAGGAAAAAAACTTCTTTATGTTAAATTAATAATAAGAGAAGTATTACAAAAAAAAAAAAAAAAAAGCTGAAAGGACCCATCAATTTGTTTGTGCATGAGGGGAAACAATTTCTCCAGCAAGCAACAGTAGAAATTGTTTTTCCGATATGTAAACACATGTATTGAATTCAAACCAAGAACATTCTCGGCCACTCTTTTGGATGGCTTGATTTTATAAACACATGCTCTAACTAAATTTCCGAGTTCTAGGAATGGGAAGGGGAATCAAGAATCAACGTTAACTTCAAACTCGCCATGAAAGTAACCACAAAAGAAGGCATTGACCAAAAATGGATAGTTAAGCTGCAGTAGTAATGCACTGTATTGCCTCTTTGCATATACCAGTCATTGTTGCTTCAGGTCCATAAACCTGTAATGTATAAATACACAAAAAGATTAAAGATCGTTCCTCAAAACATTTTTTCCTATCAGCATCAGTTGGTTGCTCAATAATATCAATAAAGGGATGAGTTATGTAACCTCAATGGGGATGCCAATCTCCTCTCCAAGAGCTCTCATTTTTGCTAGACCCTTCTGGTAGTTGGGACCCCCTCTCCTCACGTAAATGTGCATCTTTGCTGCCTTTAACTTCTCCTCCTGGATTGCAATAGCACAACAATCAATTAAGTTAACGAAAAGAAGATTCTCATGATACAACTGAGCAAAGCTCTATGATCATTGGCTTACCTTCTCCTTCAGCGCCCGAATTATGCCACTAAATGTAGCAGCAACATCAGTAAAGTTAGCTATGCCTCCTCCTACCACAAGAGCTCTCTTTTGGCCATCAGGATTTGCAGTTGCACACTGGAAAGTAATAATGAGATTATCATAGATACAGAATACTTATAGTATCAGGTGCCAAGTTAGCATGCATTTCATAAGCTATCTTTAGACACTTAAAACAAGGACTGGCTTATCATGCAAGCAAAACGCTGAATATCTAAATTGATAGGTAGACAAAAAATAAAGCAGAGATAAAAAGTTAATTACATCAATTACAACTCTGGCGTACTGCAAGACCTCCTCTTCATTGGGTGCACCACTATATTCTGCATAGTTTCCAAGCTCAGATGCAAAACCAAGATCTCCTACCTGTTTTAATATTATAGTGTACAAGTTGTCACTTAATGTTACAGGATATGAAGATTGGCTATGGATTTGGTTTTAAAATAAGAGAAACACACCGTATCAGCGTAGATGACACTAGCACCTCCGCCAGCTACCATTGTCCAAATTCGGCCCTTTGGGTTCAACACTGTGAATTTTAAAGATGCACTTGTCTGCAAAATTAAGTGAACAAATTAACTATCAACATCATAACTAGAAGCAAAAGTATTAGAACATTATTAATAAATTATTGATGGCTTCTGAGGGAGTAGTATCAGGAATTTGATTGAACTTGAATACATACAGTCTAGGTGTTAACATTACATACTAAGAACCTAAAAGGATTAAGATCTGCAACATTTTTACTTACCCAAGATTAATAACTGGTTCATCACTTAGAGCCATAGAATTAGTATTTTAAACCTTAGTAACAAGTTAAAAAAAAAAATTGCATGTACACACATATATACATACATATCTTATGGATATAGTTTTAATTGATTTGAACAAGATTGTACATTACAGATCAAAGTTATATTTGTGCACCTTTTCATCTAATCCATGAATGAAAGATTCAGTGGGACTCATAACCCTTCCAAACGGCAATGGAAATTCAATGTTTCCCCACCTGCAACAAGTATGACCAGTATTCGTTTAAAAATATTGACTGCAAACTATCCATGAGATATACATGATGACTTTGAAATATAGCATTCTATCCTTGAAAATAACACTTAGCATTTGTTCAAGGGAAAGAACTCACTTCTTGAAGTTCTTGAAAGTAGCAGTGTCATCTAGCTCGCCTCTCATATCCAAAGGATAAGGCTTTCCATCAACCAGTGTGAAAGGATTCATCTCTAAGAAAGTGAAATCCAAGTCTAACACAAAAGAAAAGTAAGTAAATAAATAAATAAAATAAAGGAAAATGGTAAAATTTAAATATAACTTTCAATAATATTGATTTCACAAGCCCATCTAATGTTTTGTTAATATATAATTTGTATACCTTGAAACAGAGCAAAAATCACCTTGAGAAAGTCCTCAATTTCTCCCTTGATCTGTAATAAAAGTACAGGGGTATTTAATCACATTGTCGGTTTGATTTACATCAAGAATCAAAGTAATATGATAAAACACAGGTAAAATGTCCAAAGTTAATCTGTTCATAAAATAACAAATTAGCAATTAAAGTAAATTTACCTCCAAAGGAAGAGTTGCAACAAGTGGGGCAATAATTTCTGATGTAAGAGACACGCCTGTTGGAACAAATACAGTCTTAACCTGAAATATGAACAAACCATTTTGTAACTCATGGAAATAGAGTATTTAATCTGTAAGGTGAAAAATATGCAAGGTATTACCTTATCCCAATTCTCTTCAATTTCAATTCCTCCACATTCTGAAAAGCTTATGCTGTTCCCAAGTCTATCGGAGACAATGTTAAGGTAAAACTCTTCATTGTGTGGGACGAAAGGTTCAACAATGAAAGTTGTTATAGGACCTGTGCATCCACTCATCTCAACCTATATATTAGAGAAAGAAATGACTAAATACATCAAGGATAAAAGGAAAATACAAATTTACCAAAAAAAATAAAAAAAGAGGAAAATGCTCAGAAAAAAGAAGATGGTAAACGATGAGAGTAAGGTTTGGAAGACAGAGGCAGAGGGGGGAAAAGCACCTCATTTCCAAGACGCTCTTTCACAAATGAAGCAACTTGTGCCAAATCCAAATTTAAGGCAACCAAACCGCTTTTGCCACGCTTTCCAAATAACATGTCAGGTTTCACAACCAATTTAGAAGATGAAAGCCAGGGTTCCTTCTCTTGTAGCTCACTAAAATCAGTGGACGCTGTAACCTTGAGGAAAGAACCAAAACAAATTCATTACTCAAGCTTGATATGCACTCTACACTGTGTCAGGTGTAGGATGGTTAAAGATTATTGATTTCTGCAAAACTATATATATATATAGGGTCAGGATCATTTTACACCAGTGTAAGTTACACTCTTAATCTCATCCGTTGATCCCATTTATATCTAAGGGCTCTAAGTTTTTAGTAATATGAGTCATTGGATATAAGTGGATCAATGATTAAGATTGAGTGTAAGATTTCTAACTCTTACACTGGTGTAAGAATATCCTGCCCCATATATATATATATATATATATATATATATATATATATATATATATATATATATTATTGATTGCTAAAATATGTGGGGGGGATATATATATTATTGATTGCTAAAATATGTGGGGCGGGGGTTCTTCATTTTAATACACATTACAAAGTAACAGCTTAAATGACCAAATAAACTTATACATAATGCATAAAACGCACGTTAATGTTTATGGGGTATGTTTTTCTCATGTTACATGAGATAACATACCCCTCCTACTCATACATCAAAAGTCGTGCTAGCTTTTATTTATTTTTTTACTTTTTTTTTAAAAGTAGGTCCCACATATTTTGAGTCTATGGCATGAGATAGCAAGTCTCGTGCAACATGAGACTTGTATTTCCCAATGTTTATATACTTGCAAACTCATTATAAGAGTACTTACTTGTGCAGACTTGATCTGCAACTCCTTGCCAGAGAGTCTCTTAAAGTGCTCCTTCAACAACCTCTTGGAGTCGTACTCTCTGATCTTCTTGCGCGCCATTTCTTCTTATCCTATTTCATCAACCAAATAACCCCATTATCAATAATTCATTATAACAACAAAATCTCACGACACCCCATAGAACCAAAAATGAAAAAAATTAAAAAATAAATAAATCTCAAATTAGCTTCAGGGAACCTCAACATTCAGATCAAAATCAGGACTTCTAAGATTCAGCAAGTTGTACGGAATAAATTGAAACATAAAACAAAGGAGTAAAGGGAAGAATTCGAGATCTGGGGATTACCGTTAGAGAGAGAGAAAAAATGAGGATGAGGCAAGAAGTTGGGTGGGTAGTTAGATCTAACGAACGGGTTAGCGAATGAACTTGTGTGATGGTTCTATTTATAGCTGAAAGCTTCGATTTTTATCATTTGGAGAAGGGGAAAATGAAAAATTAAATGATGGGGGTGGTTGGGTTGGTGAATTATAGAAAAAAAAAATAGGAATAGTGTTAGTGTAGCGGGAAATTGAAGAAGAAGAAGGCAACAACACAAACACGCGTGTGGTACCTACCTACTTACTACTACAAACTTTGAACCAACGATTCAACCACGAGGTTGCCACTGTCGGGCTATGATGCCGTGCAGGTGCGGATCACCATACATATTTATATTTTTTAAGGATAAAAGTTACATAACGTTTTTGAGTTTTGATTAACTTACATTAAAAAATCAAGATTTTGGGTGGGTGGGGATCGGATCAAGTCAAATTTCACCTTGAGCACCACTAATTATACTATTAATTATTTAATTAATAATTTGTAGTTCTGTCAATAAATTTAGTGAGTGTGGGGTTGTATTCGATATTTATTGTATACAAATTTAAAATGTGATGTTTTTCATGGTATGGTATAGAAGATAAAATTATCTCCTACATAAAAATAATAATGTGTGGAGTGGAGCTTATGTGGGTTCATATGAAAGATAATAGGAAAGATATTAAACTCATAAATTTATATCAGATTTAATTATCTTCTTTTTCTTAAATTCAATCGTGCTAAATGTAGGGGTGTGCAAAATAACCAAAAAATTGGGTCGAACCATGAACCGAACTGATCGCCCCATAAAATAACCGATTTTTAAAGAACCGGTTCATGAACCGAACCGATTTTTTAGAACCGGTTTTTTTAGAACCGGTTTAAGAACCGAACCGGTTTTTAGAACCGGTCTAATAACCGAACCGTTTCCAAACCATTTTCAAATTGAATCAAATTAATTTTTATAACGATTTTTTTTAAAAAAAATTCTTTTCAAAAGAGGGTCGACCCGAACCGGTTCCGAATCACTTTCGAACCGAATCGAACCACTTTCGAACCGAACCATTTAAACCAATTCAATCGGATTTTTCAAAAAATCCGATTCGGTTCGACCGATGCACTATCCAAGCTAAATGAGACGTGACGACATCTATACGAATCTTTTAAGTATAACTTTATTTGACTTATTTGAATACAAAATAAAATAAAATTTAACTTTTGCGTTTTGTTTGAATACAAAATAAAATTGATTTTTTTTAAAGTAACGTAGTTTTAAAAGATTATTTAATTATATGAAAAAGGATCGTGATAAAGGCCAACATTAATGAAGAAAGAAAAAAAATAGTTTTTTTTTTCAAAAAAAAGAGAGAATGTGGCTTTGTTATTTGTTATCTGCATTAAACTTTAATTATTAAAATACATCATAAAAGGTTGAAATATTTAATATGTGAATTTATTTAGTAATTTAAGATCAAAATAAAATAATTACATAAACTATATAATTTAAAATGACATTTAAATACAACAAAGTCCAGCACAGTTGGTAGATGACTGAATCATTTAAGCATGTTCAGAGTAGTTTGATCTCTGATCTTATATATGGAAAATAATTTGTTAATAGAGACAAAATTTATTTCAGTGATCTATATGCTACAAAAGGATTAGTCATCTATTATCAGCTTGTTGAGATATATAATCTCACATTGATTAGATGGGCAACTAATATAGCCTTTATAAGGCATTGGGCACTCCCACCATTTGAGCTAGTTTTTGGGGTGGTGTATCCCAAGGTTCTTTACATGGTATCAGAGCCACACCGTTCCCCACTTTAAAGTGGATTAAAATAAAATAAAAAAGCACAAAAGGTAGGTAAACCAAAGATTGGGCCTGTGCATAATCCATGTTTCAAGCCCAAAGGGCTCTTGCGTGAGGGGGCGTGTTAAGACCTTGGGCACTCCCACCCTTTGAGCTAGCTTTTGGGGTGGTGTATCCCAAGGTTCTTTACAGCTGAAGAATATTTTGAGAAAACTAAAAAAAGATGACACATAAATTAATTTTTATTATATTTATTTGTAATTGTAGCAGAAATTTTTTATCAGCCATAAACTAATTAATATATATATATATATATATATATATATATAGGGTCATGATCATTTTACACCGGTGTAAGTTACACTCTCAATCTTGTCCGTTGATATCATTTATATCTAAAGTTTCAAATTTTTTAGTAATGTGAGTCATTGGATACAAGTGGATCAATGGTCAAGATTAAGTGTAAGACTTCTAACTCTTACACCGGTGTAAGAATATCCTACCCCATATATATATATATATATATATATATATATATATATATATATATATATATATATATATAGGGTCAGGATCATTTTACACCAGTGTAAGTTACACTCTTAATCTTGTCCGTTGATTCTACTTATATCTAAAGGCTCTAATTTTTTAGTAATGTGAGTTATTGGATACAAGTGGATCAATGGTCAAGATTGAGTGTAAAATTTCTAACTCTTACACTGGTGTAAGAATATCCTGCCCCATATATATATATATATATATATATATACATATATATATATATATATATACATATATATATATACACACACGAAAGCAATTTTTAGTACATCGATGAATTTTAAGATAAATTATTAAGTAAAAAATCATTTAATATTTTAAAAAATAATTTTGACTGTCGTCTCGTCAATCACACATACATATGATTAAATGATATTATTGTATCGCGTGTCTTTTAAAAATTTATTTAAATTTAAGTTATTTAAAGGATAATGAATTTGATTAATAAAAATCATAATTTCTGTTCCAGATGGCCCAACAAGGATACAGTCCAAAGGTTCAGGCCCAATCTCAGCCCTCAGTCCACGTCAGCCCTACCAGGTGGTGAGATCCCCCAACACCAACACGACGACTCTCCCGAGGGTAAACACCGAAATGTTCTACCTTGGGACCGTAACACCGAAGGCAATCGCCCCAGATGCCAAAAGGGGAAACTGTCATTTGTCTCACGCTGACACCACCAGGCATAAGAGGTGCAGCGCTGCTATCATAGCAGCGTCTGCCACGCCCTGCGCTGCCACCCTTAGCAGATCCCAAAGAGGATTGACCCCCTCCTCACCAACCCAAGCAAGATTCACACCACCTACTTTATAAATAGCCCCCAAGGCACTTGAGGGAAGATTATCTTATCTATCGTTATTATGCTCATTTATATGAAGTCACATATACTCATACTGAATCATCCATTGTTACCTTCTTGTCATCATACTTGGTACAGTGCTCTCTAGCTTGGTCTTTACCTCTGCTAGTGACATCATCCATACAGTGATATCATTTCCAGAGGAAACATAGTGAGGTTATAAATGACAATGGTACAATTTCTAAGAAGAAGAAAAAAGAACCCGAAACTAAATTAGTCAAGTTTGTTAAAGCTTTAGACACTAGTTGATATCTATAAAAAATAAATAAAATTCATCTAGATATAAATCATTTTTGATAATTTTAATTTCTAGTTTTTATAATCTTATTTTACCTCCAATTAATGGATAATCCTCTCTTTAATCAACTCTTCTAGGTTGAAATTGATATTGATGTTACTCTCACATTTTGATCAAGGGTTTTTATCTTCTTTCATTTTCAACAATGATAAAAATTTTGGGTACATAATAATGATATTTTCATCTCAGAAGAAAAACTCTTGATTACAATGCGGGGACAGGCCGACGGGGGGACAACATCAATATCAACGTCAAGAAAGAAAACGTAAAGATAATGTCCACGTTGAGTTATACGCTAGTTGATGTGATAACATCACAATGAATAAACCGAATTGACATATATAGCTGTTAGTGCAACCATCTAAAGAACCAAACAGTATGGTAAAAAAGAAAGCAAAAAAATAAAATAAAATAGTGGTATTACACTTTTCGATGTCAAAAATTTTCTAATGATTTATAAGAATTGAAACCACAACCATCCTCTATTGAAGTCAACACATTAGACTAGAAAGAGATGGATTAGTATTTTACCAATTTTGAATTTGGAAAACGTCACCTACCCCCAACAAAGTAAAAGTTAGCTCACTATAGAGCCAAATTAATTAGCTGTTGGTCAAACAGAGCAACATTCTCTACCTATTATCTCACATTCTGTGTAGAGATTTAGCTCAACTTTCAATATTTATTTGGTAGCAGAATACATAATTATGACTTTTATAGCTAGTCAAAAAAATAAAATCGTGCAATAATCTATGCCTTCAATTTACTTGGTAGTTTCTCTCTCACTGTCCACTTGTACTAACTTCATTGGCTATTTGTTATTTAATTTAAGTTTATAAATTTTAATGGAACTTTTTTCTCTTTTAGATATGACAACTAAAATTTTAATCCTTTAAGAGGGACTGGGTTGATAATATTGGAGAGAACAGTAATAATTGATAAAAAAAAAAAAAGAGAAGAAGAGGGAATACGAATTAATTAGTGGTTTAAGAAAATTAATGCCAAACGACATGCCGTCTTGCCGTTTGGCATTACATTTCAAAAGCCCGCAATTCATGGTCGACTCGCCAGTTCCGCAGATCGGAAAATTATAGCGCCGTCGAAAACCACCGTGTACGGCGGAATACCTTTCATTTGTATCTTCTTTCTCGGAAGTTCCGCCTCCTTCGAAGGAGTCTCTCTCCATTTCTGACCCTGCGAGCGCTGAGCGCATCACCGAAATCGAAGAAACCCTGGATTTCCCAATGGAAGAGTTGGAGCAATGGAAGGAGCAGGTTTGTCACTTGTGGCGTCTGGTTATGGATTATCTTCGCGAGGTTCCCCCCAATCAGGTCTACGCTACTGCTGCTATCGCGGTTTTCACGACCCTGCTTCTTCTCTCAGGTGTGTTCGTGTCATTGTTGAATTCCTGCACTTATGATCGATTTTGAGTGTTTATTGATGATTTTTGTTTTTTGTAGTACGGTTTTTGAGGCGTGCAAAGTCTAATACGGTTGTGTTGATGGGGCTTAGTGGGAGTGGGAAAACTGTTCTATTCTATCAGGTAAGCTCCCAATGTCATTTTTTTTCATTGATTCTCAGTTTTGTTTTCTTTAATCTAAAAATCAGAAATTAATGATTTTGTTAGGTTTAATCATAATTGAGGATTAGGTCAATGCTGTCGAGTTTTTGAAATGCATAGCATTGTGCCTTGATTGTTAGTTATAATAATGAAAATACAACAAAGAAAACAATTGTGATTAATTAAGACCAAATATTGCTTGTATAGTTGTATCTGAGGGTGAAGAGTCATGGTTAGGTTGTTGGATAAAAACTGAAAACTTTTTATAATAGTAGCAGGTGCTATTAAAGGGTGGGATATAATCGAGTATCACTATTAGTTTTCCTTATGTTCACATTTTCCATGCTAACATATTGTTCTTGACACGCTTTTAATGCCTGCGTTCAGCTTAGGGATGGCTCTAATGATCAGGGTACTGTTACATCAATGGAACCTAATGAAGGCACTTTTATTCTTCATGGTGAAACAACAAAGGTAATATTTTAGCCTCCTGCACTCAAATACTTGTTTGAATGTGCAGGTTTAAGCATGTTTTTTAATGTGAATATTGTGCTTCTCATCTTTATAGAAAGAGGATATTCTCCTTTTCTTGTTAACTGAAGAAACTTGTTTAGGTTGTCAAATTAGTTGATTGAAATCATATCTTATTTTCTCACGTTTGTTTGTTGATTGTGGAATCAGACTTACAATAGACTAAATATTGTCTCGTGTTTCTTTGACTGGCAGAATGGCAAGATAAAGCCTGTTCATATTGTTGATGTTCCTGGGCATTCTCGTCTTCGACCCAAACTGGATGATTACTTGTCTCAAGCTGCTGGCATAGTTTTTGTGGTGGATGCTTTGGACTTCTTACCAAACTGTCGTGCTGTTTCAGAGTAATTCCTTCCCCCATTCAATTGCTACATTACCATCTTTGTATGAAGTAGCACTTCTTGTCAATATTAGCAGTGAACCACTAGTAAGCCATGGTGGGAAGTGTTAAAATACTCTCAAGATATCGTAACATTAAAATATTAAGGGAAAAGTTTATCAATGTCCCTGTAGTTTACTCCAGAATCACTTATACCCCTGTGGTTTTTTTTTTATCACATATGCCTCTGTGGTTTGCAAAAGAGTTCGTTTGTTTAGCACATATGCCCTTGTGGTTTTTTATTTTTTACAATGCACAGGGGCATATGTGATAAGAAAAAAACCACAGGGACATAGATGATTCTGAAGCAAACCACAGAGGCATTGGTGAACTTTTCCCAAATATTAAATGACTGACTATTTCCCACTATTCCAGAGGAAGAAAGGATATCATTAGTTACAAGGATACTAACATTTTCTTTTACTTTTTTAGGTACCTATATGATCTATTGACTAAGGGAAGTATTGTGAGCAAGAAGATTCCACTGCTTATTCTCTGCAACAAAACAGACAAAGTCACTGCTCATACCAAAGAGTTTATCCACAAACAGATGGAGAAGGAAATGTATGGCTTTAAGTACTAAAATCTTCTATCTCTAGTTCTCTACTCATTTGATCATTCAGCAACTACTATATCATTTCATTTTGTCGTCAGCAGTCTCTGCGTGAGAGAGAGAGATATCGTGGAATATATGCGCTGTCAATGCTGTTATTGTTGATTGGTCATATTTAAGTGTATTCTATTTTCTTTTAACAATTCTAATCTTTTCAGCTTCTTAGATGGAGTTATTTATGGCACACTCTCAATCAACTGATTGGTTTGTTTTGATCTTGAAAATGTGCATATTATTCAATGTATGATAAACTGATTCTTTTCATGTAAACTCTATTATTGACTCTTACTATCCTTTTCCAGCGACAAATTACGGGCATCAAGAAGTGCAATATCAGCTGCTGACATTGCAAATGAGTTCACCCTGGGGGTACCTGGTGAGCCATTTTCTTTTACCCAGTGCTCTAACAAAGTAACAACTGCAGATGCTTCTGGCTTAACTGGGGAGATATCTCAGCTGGAAGAGTTTATCAGAGACTATGTGAAGCCATAGCTGTGGATATTTTGTTTAAACTAACAGATTTTTGTTATGGACGGGGTTGTTCCTCTTGGTTGTTTCTACTTACTTCTTATAACTCAGCACTTGCTGGATGAGAAGAGGCTTAAAGAACGGGGGGTGGGGGGGTCACAGAATCAAGAAAAATTAATATGGGTGTTTCAGCTTCGACATATCATTTGCCCAATGATGCAGTCATCTTGATGCTGCTCATCATGTAATGATTGGTGCCTAATAATACCCCGCTGACTGGTGCTCTAAGTCCTCTAACTAGGAGAACTTCAAGCTGTAGAATTCAGGGTTTAGGGTTTCGAATTTGAACTTCGAGCTGTACTTGGAATTTGAATATTTGTCATCTGACTCATTGAATAATACCAGGAATATTATTGAACAATTCCAAGAGTATTTCATCCTCTCAAAGATGACTTCGCACTCGACTTGTTGTTTGGCAAACAATTATTGCAGCATTGCTCTATGGGAGTTTACAATGTAGCATTGCTGCTTACTATATCTTGCATATATAAAAAGGTTGCACATTAACGAAACAATGCATGGATATACTGCTTGCTTTTCATAATGTTGAAGATATTAATAGGATTACTCAATACTAAATAAAATAGCACCTTTTTGTTTTTAATATATATCTTCAATTTTCCTTAGGCTGATTAAATCAATGTAGGATATTGTGGAACAATTAGCTTTGATGGAATACATCAGAAACATGACATTACAAAATAGACCAGGGAACTGTTATGAATTCAAAAATAGTTAGTACAAATACCTATTCCACACAATTACCCCCATAAAAATATGGCACGCTCTACACATTTTTTTCTGGGGGAAGGGAGGGGTTGGGTGGGATCGAAATCTAATCTTCAAATTTCAATGATTAATATCGTGGAATGTATCATCACCGTACAAACTGACAAGACCCAGGAAATGATCTTGACAACCACAAGTGCTTCAACTTCACTATCAAAGCAAAGACGCCATAGCATGGAATGTGAAGTACACCGACACCTAAGTACCTAAAAGTCCAACAAGAGGGCAAGAGTTATGTAACATCATCTGAACCAGCACACTTTACTTTACGTAGATTAATTTCATATCCAATTGCTGCGTTCAGTAATAGTTAAGATAAACATGCAATGATATATAATAAATTGCTCCTTGCTTGCAAGTTTATTTTAAGGTTGTCATATTTGAAGACCTTGAACAAAATTGAGTTTTTACAGATTCTACTTGAGTGACGGTAACAAATTGAATTTAAGAACATACCATAAGGGTGCATACGGGGATGACAAGTCAAGGAAAGGATAAGGCCACCTGTAACAAAGGTTAGCAAATTATAGACAACAGTAGAATTGTGTCCATTGAAATGCAATAATCAGAAGATAGGGTACACGTTTTTACCAAATTGAAGCACAGGCATGAATGATCCACTGGAAAATCACAAATATAGCCGTCCACAAGATAAAATATCCAAATCGAAAAATTGGAAATCTCTACATGTGTTAAGAAGAAATAGTTGTAATTTTGAAATAGATAATTAAGGAAGAATAAAAGCCACAAAAAAAAAAAAAAACTCACCATGCCATTCAATGATGTGTCACCGAGGAGGAACAGAGCGTTAATGGAGTGCATAGAAATAACCAACTGCAAATTGAGAAGTGCAAACATTTTCACATGAATATCATATAAATAATAGACAAGATTAGGTATTTCAAACAACAGACAGGATTAGGTAGTCAACGTTTAGCACATGCTGAAAAGCACAACTACTTTGAAGTTGATTACATTTTACAGATGACTATCATATAAATAATAGACAAGATTACTGGAAGCAAAACTTAATATAAAATGTAAAATGCAACTTGGAGAACAGACTCATTAGTAGCATTGATATTCGATGGCAATCTCCAAAATTGTTTTAATTTTTCAATAAATATGAAACTAGAAAGGAAAGGCCAAACAGTCTCCAAAAATTTTATCGTATAAATTTCCCAGCCAAAAGGATAAATGATAGACAAGGGACAAGATCAATAATACTTACAAAATCCAGATTGAACTCGTTTGTTGTCAGAAATGGATAAATGAGGAGCCAGAATACAGAGTCAGTGAGTACTACAGCACCTGCGCAAGTCTACATATTTAAAAGAGATTGAAAACAAAATCAATAGATTTCCTCCTGAGTTTAACCGGCTAATAAATAATCACACAACGAAATCCAAAGTGTATTACAGTGTTTAATTGATTAGCAGAAAAAGAACAGATGAACAAGAAAACAACATTGTAAAAACACATGACTGTAACAGAGACTGCATCACAGTTTTTTGCAAACTTCTGATTGTTGTGGAAACATTCATCTGCAAACCCATATTTAAAACATAATAATCTTTAGATGTAAATTTGAACACTTATATCTATATTCAAATAATCAACTGGGACTTTTCAAACTAGAAGGTAATGACTAATTAGCTATCTTGGTAAGGATAGCATAATTACTACTCCAATATAAGCATATAGCAGAATTCTTTTTCAGCCATGATCGCTCAAATATTATTACAGAAGAAACTTTCTTACCTAATCTTCTTCTTTCTTTTTTTTAAATAAAAGAAGCTTTACTAGAAGAAAAGAAGGAAAGTGCAGCTAAAAGGAGAAAATCAGAAAAGCTTCTCAATCTCTTAAGCAACTAATAGCACAACACCACAAAGAGAAAAATATTTTCAATGTTACGGGAGTACCGAGCATTCGGTACATACTTTACCAAATATGACAAAAAGTAACCCATTACATTATCCCTGCCTTTATAGTTATTTCCTCTCATATCTCTTTTTTTCCCCTTGTTGGTAAGAGAGTATTTACTACCGTTGCACAGAAAATATACTCCACAAAGAGAGTATACAAACAATTCTGTCCCAGAGCATATTTTTTGTGCAACAGGAGTAGATACTCCCTTACAAAAAAGGAAAAAAAAGGGAACATATGAGGAAATAACCATAAATATAGGGATACTATAAATGGTTATTTTTGCTATATTTGGTAAAGGATATATTGAGTGCTCAGTACTCCCGTAGCACTGAAAATATTTTCGTTACGTAGAGATAATACAAGTAGAGGATACTGACGACCTAAAATGCCAATGAAAAAAAAAAAAGGTTTCTCAAATTAGATTCAAGACTACAGTCAAATTTCTGCCAGTGTTGTGATTAATTGTGGACAGATTCTTTTTGAAACCTCGGAAAAACCAGTTAAAAAATGTTATTTGGCAACCCAGGCTTTCCAACAGTATGAAACCCTCCGTCTCGAAACAGACAAACTTTTTCAAGCTAAACATTTGACAACCATGAAGTTCCCTAAAAACTTTTCAATTGATATATCTTTTTTATGTTTCAAGGCTGCCATTTTCAATCCTTTATGGTACATCATTTACTAAATATGGCAAAAGTAACCCATTTACATTATTCCTACCTTTATGGTTATTTCCTCTCATATCTTCTTTTTTTCTCTTTTTAGCAAGGGATTACCTACTCCCATTGCATAGAAAATATGCTCCACAAAGATAGTATACAAACAATATTGTTCCAGAGCACATTTTTTGTGCAACGGAAAAAGGTACTCTCTTACCAAAAAGGGAAAAAAAACGATATAGGAGGAAATAACTATAAAGATAGGGATAGTGTAAATGGTTACTTTTGCCATATTTGGTAAAGAATGTATCGAGTGCTCGGTACTCTCGTAACACTGAAAATAATTTCATTAGGTAGAGATAATACAAGTAAAGGATTGTGCTGACCAAAAATGCCAATTTTGAAATTAGTTTCCAGACTACAATCAAATGTCTGCCAGTGTTGTGATTAATTGTGGATAGATTATCTTTGGAACTTGGAAAAACCGATTAAAAAAGGTTATTTGGCAACACAGGCTTTCAAACAATATGAAACCATTCATCTCGGAACAGACAAACTTTTTCAAGCTAAACATTTGACAACCCTGAAGTTCCCTAAAAACTTTTCAATTGATATATCTTTTTTATGCTTCAAGGCTGCCATTTTCAATCCTTTATGGTACATCCTTTACTAAATATGGCAAAAAGTAACCCATTTACATAATGCCTACCTTATGGTTATTTCCTCTCATATCTCCTTTTCTTCCTGTTTAGGTAAGGGAGTATCTACTCCCGTTACACTAAAAATATGCTCCACAAAGAGAGTATACAAACAATCTTGTTCCAGAGGTGCAACGGGAGTAAGTACTCCCTTACCAAAAAGGAAAAAAAAAAGGATATGAGGAAATAACTATAAAAATGGGGGTAGTACAAATGGTTAACTTTTTTTCATATTTGGTAAATGATGTATAAGTGCTTGGTGCTTCCGTAGCACTGAAAATATTTTCAATAGGTAGAGATAATACAAGTAAAGGATGATGACGACCTAAATGCCAATGAAACAAAAAAAATAACTTTCTCAAATTAGTTTCCTGGCTATGGTCAAATGTTTGCCAGTGTTATGATTAATTGTGGATAGATTCTCTTTGGAACCTTGGAAAAACCAGTTAAAAAATGTTATTTGGCAACCCAGGCTTTCAAACATTATGAAACTCTCCATCTCAAAACAGACAAACTTTTTCAAGTTAAACATTCAACAACCATGAAGTTCCCTAAAAAATTTTCAATTGATACATCTTTTTTATGCTTCAAGGCTGCCACTTTGCAAAAAGTAACCCGTTTACATTATTCATACCTTTAGGTTATTTCCTCTCATATCTTCTTCTTTTTTCCCTTTTTGGTAATGGAGTATCTACTCCCGTTGCATAAAAAATATGCTCCAGAAAGAGAGTATACAAACAATCTTGTTCCAGAGCACATTTTTTGTGCAATGGGAGTAGGTACTCCCTTGCCAAAAAGGAAAAAAAAAATAGGGATATGGCACGAAATAACTATAAAGATAGTGGTAGTGTAAATGGTTATTTTTTATTATTTGGTAAAGGATGTATCGAGTGCTCGGTACTCCTGTAGCACTGAAAATATTTTAGGTAGAGATAATACAAGTAAAGGATGGTCACGACCTAAAATGCCAATGAAACAAAAATAAAAAAGTTTCTCAAATTAGTTTCCTGATTACAGTCAAATGTCTGCCGGTGTTGTGTTTAATTGTGGACAGATTCTTTTGGCAACCTATGAAAAACCAGTTAAAAAATGTTATTTGGCAACCCAGGCTTTCAAACAGTATGAAACCCTCCATCTCGAAACAGACTAACTTTCTCAAGCTAAACATTTGACAACCACGAAGTTCCTTAAAACCTTTCTATCGATATATCTTTTTTATGCTTCAAGGCTGCCATTTTCAATCCTTTATGGTACATCCTTTACTAAATATTTCAAAAAAGTAACCCATCTACATTATCCTTACCTTTATAGTTATTTTCTCTTATATCTCATTTTTTTCCCTTTTTGGTAAGGGATAATCAACTCCCGTTGGACACGAAATATGCTCTACAAAGAGAGTATACAAACAATCCTGTTACAAAGCACATTTTTTGTGCAACAGGAGAATGTACTCTCTTGCCAAAAAGGGAGGAAAAAAAGGATATGGAAGGAAATAACTATAAAAATAGGGATAGTGTTTTTGCCATATTTGGTAAAGGATGTATCGAGTGCTAGGTACTCTCATAGCACTGAAAATATTTTCGTTAGGTAGAGATAATACAAGTAAAGGATGGTGACAACCTAAAATGCCAATGAAACAAAAAAAAAAGGTTGCTCAAAGTAGTTTCCGGATTACGGTTAAATGTCTGCCAGTGTTGTGAATAATTGTGGATAGATTCTCTTTGGAACCTTGGAAAAACCAGTTAAAAAATGTTATTTGGCAAGCCGGGCTAGTATGAAACCCTCCATCTCGAAACAGACAAACTTTTTCAAACTAAACATTTGACAACCATGAAGTTCCCTAAAAACTTTTTAATTGATATAACTTTTTTATGCTTCAAGGCTGCCATTTTCAATCATGTTCAATTTCTTTCACAAAACCAATATTTAAATTAAAAAAATATCAGTTGCACGTCCTGACTAAACAAAATTTATGGTTAAAGATGAATTTATAGTTGCTATCGAAGGGGAACATTGGATTAGTTGAAATAAATGTAATGTACCCAAAAAAAGAATAAACAATATCTAAACAAATAAAATCATTAAGAAAAAAGTACCTGAAAAATTATTTGAAAAACATAACCCCATACACCAGCATAATTCTGAGTCTGAGGTTCCCGATAGGCATCGGAAGTTTTGTACAGGCTAGGTATTACTGCGGTCCCATCAAGTGTAGGAGCCACATAAGTGCCTTGTTCTGCATCTAAATAAGCTCGATTGACTGTGTTGCTCTTGTGGTTAAAGAAACATCCATATATGGAGAAACAAGACCCAAGCTGAAAAGTGAAATTGAGAGCAAAAGTCACTTAGAGAATATATGAACTGAAAACATTGAAAAGGAAAGTTGACTGATAGGTTCAATTGTTTTCTATATGTAGCATACAACCTGTAAGTTACAAAAATGTCATACGTTCCACCCTACCCTCCAAAGAGATCAAAGAAATGCAATTTTATTACTACAATATCAGAAGAAAAGTTAAAGATGTGAAGTGTTACCCCAAAGTAAATAGTGACCAAAGTAAATGTCCACCTGTTTAGCATCAAAAAAGAAAGGAAAGAAAAGAAAAGAATCAGCATATTTATAACCAAGAGAGGTGTTAAGGTAGAGGTGTTTTATTGTGACAATCAATCATTTCCAACTTATACTTTTTGATCCCATGAGTATTGAATAACCCAATTCATGCAATATATCATAATTACAGTTTCCACTTTAACAAAGGCTCTTCATTGTTGACATAAGAGACCAGTTGGACTCAAATCTTCTGTCCCCAGTGCTATCCCCCGATAAAATACTACCAATTATGCAAAGGGGAAAAAAAAGAGAGCTTACTACCAACTAAGAGAGAAAGGATACATTCAGGAGAGAAGTGTCATTTTTTGCTTAGTTGACCACATTTTATTCAGGAGACATGATTGGGGATAAAGAGAGGACAGAAGACTTGAATCCAGCCCAGTCTTAGTATACAACAAACTACAAAGAAGATGTTCTTCAAAAATCCTAATACTGGATCTGAAAATAACTAATAAATAAATGAATATATAAGCAAACTCCCTAGGTTGCTACTTGAGGTGGCAATGAAACAGAAACAAAATCAAATTAAACATATGAAGCAACAAATAAAAGTCTTCTTATTTCTTTCTCAATTAAGAAAGCATGCATACAAGTCTAGGCCTCGGGCAGATTTTGTTACTTCAAGCAAGCATGTTCATAACTTGTTTAATCTATCTCATCATTGAATAGTAGCATACAAGACTAGTATATACAGGTTATGTGCAAGGTAGCTTACTGAGTGTAGAAGTAAAATATGCCACCTCCATCAGCAACCACATTGGCAATGAGCAAAGCCAAAAGGAAAAGAAAAGAAATTATTCTGTAAGCAAGCAGCCAAGCAGGATGAATTCCTTTAAGACATGTATTCCATGCTTCATCCTTATATAGCGACCCAGCTGTTTCTCGCTGCCTTCTTCCCCTCGCAGTTCTTGATTTACTGAGTTCTTCATACTTCCATATTAAAAATGATGCTAGAGCCATGGAAATTAAAATCCATAGTGCACAGAGGAAGAACCTCCAATTCAACCAATAACTTAGGGCGGTAGAATCTGCTGTCATGGTGGGTTTCCAAGCACGGCTAGAGGATCCTGTTAATGTATAATAAACTCATGAGTTACTTATACTTGCTTCAGTAAATATGTGTTCCCGGTATCTTTCCTAGAGGTCTATGCACTCAGTTAAAGCAGGAAACCTCCCAAGTATGCATGAATTGTGGGGTCAAAAAGTTTAACAGGAACAGTTCAGGTGAAGAAAATTTTAACAGAAGCTATTCATGCTTAGAATTAAGGAGAGAAATAAAGATATATAATTAACAACAAAAAGACAATCGTCCCTCAGAATAACGTCATAAGAATTAATTTTGGTAGCTGAGTACATTTGAATGACAGAGGAGAAAGGAGGAAACAGACTGCAATAAGAATTTAGTCAAGAGCATCCCAAATTCTCAATCGATTCAGTTCTTCACAGCAGGGTGAAGAAAAAAATGGAAACTTCAATGTTCTGAAGAAACAACACAAAAATCACCAAAGTCCAACGGCAACAAAAATTATGCATTCAGGAAATTCAAACAAAAAGAAACAGAATCATATGAAAGAATGACAAATGCAATCAAGCATCCATAGCAAAAACAGAAATTTACAATGTTTAGTCTTCTCCAGAATACTTAAAATCAAGTACATGAGACAAGTTGCAAACTAAGAACAATATATAAACAAGAAACTTGCTCCCCGATCTGTGAATCCAATCCAACCCAGATTCCTTACTTAAGATGGGTTTCCCCGAAATTCCGAAAAGTTTAATACTTGATCAAAATAAATAGATAAAAAAAACAAAGATGATTCCTAATGGAAAGAAAAAAAAGAAGAAGAAGAAGAAAGGAGCAGAATAGAAGCACTCACAATTGATGCTCAAATGAAGGAAAAGGGTAGAATACGGTTGAGTATTTGGTTATATTTATTGGAATCAGTGACTGTTCCCAAATTACTGAGCGTGGGATCAGCCAAGATTCACCGGAGAAGATACTGGGCCTGGGGGCTTTTCTCGTGCTCCATAATATAAAACCTTATAAACTACAATATTCCGTGCGTAACCTTTCTAAGGATTAAAAATTATCGAATTTACTTTGACGTTTGTGATTTTTTGTCATCATGTCATCGCTTACGTGTTTGTCTATGTCTTTTAAACTGATAAAACTCTTTTATAATAATTTTAATTTATTAAAATGTAAATATATAGGTTTTTATATATTTAATTTAAAAAAAATTAACCTTACATGAACTTTTTGTTGTTAAATATTTGTTTTCCATCCATTTGGGTTTCATTATTAGTTAATACAGGTTGGTTGAGCTCCTTCATTAACTGTTGGTTGCTGTGTCGGTGTAATTGAGCTTATTTAGATTATACTTCTTAAAAAAATTAAAGTTTATAATTTTTAATTAAAAATATATTATTCAGAATAAGATAAAATATAGACACGTAATGGAGTTGGTAAATTTTAAGTTGTTAATTTTTTAATTAACTGTTATACTTTTTTTTTAATATATATAACAACTTAAATGGACAAATAAATTAATTAATGAGCATGAGTGAAGAGTTGTATTCTTTTAAGGTGTTTAAAAGAATTAATTTTTACTTAAATACCGTATATTATATGAGAAATGTTTTTCTCATATTATGTTAGAACTTAGAAAGTTTATCTCATATGACACATTCATTGAAATTCAAGCCACTATTTTTTGTTTTTTTAAGTTGTGGGATTCACCTAATTATGTTTTTACATTAGACAATATTATCTCATGTAATATGAGAAAAACATTGTCTATATTATATAAGGGGAATGATATTGTGACAACCAAGTTGTGTTACTACCAAGTGACTACCAATCAATCTCATCGTTAGATCGATTATGTTGATCCAACGGTTATATTTATTTTCATCTTTGTATGGTCATGATTCTCCATATTTAAAGTGAAAGCATTAAACATGGGAAATCATAACCATACAAAGGTGAAAATAAATATAAAGTATTAAATTTAGGAAATCATGACCATACAAAGATAGAAATAAATATAACCGTTAGATCAATATAATCAATCTAACGGTAAGATTGATTGGTAGTAATACAACTTGATTGTTACAATATCCTTCCCCATTATATAAACACCTAACTTATTATTTGGTATATATAAAATTAAAAAGAAATATAATAAAAATAAATTTAGTATTTAAATTATTAATTTTTAAAAAAATAATACATTTAAAAAAATAATAATGTGAACGAGCGAAAGCCAGCGAGTCACGTTGTGGGGACTCTCGGATTGAATGTCTGGGCGCTACAAGAGGACAAATTTGTTTCCTTGAAGACTTGAACGATGAATGAATATTAATTAAAAAAAATGTTTTCGATAGATTAATTTGACAAACTCTAAATAAATTAATTAAAAGTACTAAATACTTTTTGAACTAAAAAATTAAATTATTATTCAGAAGGATGAATGAATATTACTCTTTTGGGCCTTTGGCTATTGGAATTACCCCGTTCAGAAAACATATATTTGAGAACCATAAGAGCAGTAGTATGCCACTTGATAAATGAATGTATTAATTATTTGAATGTTTGAGAAAATTAGCAATTGATTAGTTAAAGCGTTCAAAGTTTATTATGTTGTAAGAGTTTAAATTATTTTCTATAAACATAAAAATATGTAGAACTAATGGGAAGTAATTAAAATAAAATAAAATTAGACACACATTTTTAATTTTATACGTATATAAAAAATAAAATTATTTTCTGCATTGCGATAAACTTTAACCCTTATTTAAAACTAAACATTTATTGGCTGCTACTGCTAGACTCTTCAAATTGTGGTAAAATAGAAGGAAGACACATGGAATCAACTGGACATGGTTTGGGCAAGGCTAATGGGTCCATCATATCATATAAGTCAACCTCGCGATTTTCGTGAGGTGATGAGTCATCATCCTAGCAGATTCTAAAATATTCTTATTTTTGCTTTATTCAAAAGAATGAGATTTAACCTTTAGCACTCTATCTTCCACGGTGGCCTGTGAAATGCCCTCAGATTCTCAAAATTCTCCTAAAAACACGACGACCTAAATTAAATTCATAGAAGGGTGCAAAGCTTTGTATTGCCATCATGCTTTACATTAAATAAAGATATCAAGATCAACATGGCAAAAATAATATCATATCAAAAGCATAGTCTTTTTATGAACCAATAATAAATAACCACGTGATAAGGTAATCATGTAGATCAAATGAATAAACAAAAATGGCAGACCATCATGCATAATAATCTATGTCATTAGGGGACAATTGTCATCAACATGGTTTAACAAAACAAAAAAACAAAAAAGGAAACTCATCAAGATGAAAAAGAATTATCGCATCGATATAAAATAAGCTGCCTTCTTATAAAAGTCAACAATAAGGAGTTTTGTAGAAAGAAGTTTCTAGGAAAGAGCATTTGCTGAACTTGTATTTATTTACAAAAATATACAAAGGTCACAGTAGAACACCTTTTCCTTAATTTCACTTTAAAAAGGTGTGTAAATAATTATACAAAATAATTCATTTTGGTTTTCTTTTTAAAAAAGGGTTGAAAATATCTTCAGTTACATGACCAACTTTTAACTTGCACAGATAAATAAATATGCAACGCATCGAATTAAAAAAAAAAAAAAACAAGAAAAAGAGCTGATGGGATTGTTAGTTTGTTACTGTCTGTACAGTGGAGGATGGGTTTATCCAGGACAGAATGAAATTCTCCAAGATAAACTTATTTCTCTAGGGAGATATTTGGTCAAGAATAGATTTTTTTTATTTGAAAATCATGATTACTAAAATTGTAACTGGATCTTTATGAATATGATCAAAAAATTATTTAATAGGCCAAATTTTCATTGTAAATATTGAATAAAATTTACTGAATTTATGTTTGATTAATTATAAAATATTACTGAAAATTTGGTGTGATGTTACAAATATACCCCCACTTTGCCATTTTCTTTTTGTGAAAGAGGGCTAAACACTTTCTAAAAAAAGAGCTATTTTTTCTCAAAAATTTCACACCACTTTTTTTAATTTCATAGCAATCCAACAATGTCACCCTTTGGGTGGTATTCTTAATAGAAACTTTCATCCTTCATTTACACAAAAAAATGGATTACCAGTTAAATCACTTTATTAGATAAATTTTTTGAAAAGTGATATCAGATATGGTATTCTTAAAAACTCACCCTCACTTTTCTGGATATCCAACAAAATCTTACTAAATATCCCCTAAAAGAAAAATAGTATTATTTTTTAAAAACTATAAACTAAAAAATGAAAGCCACAGATTACATAACAAAATTTAGTTTAGGGTTGAGCCCGGCGGGTCAACCCGCCAAAATGGGACGAGTTGGGTTGAGGTTTTCAACCCACCAACCCACTTCAACCCGCCCCGCCTAGAAGTGGGTCAAACGGGTTCAACCCGCCGCGGGGCGGGTTGACCCGCCGGGTTATATATATATATATTTTACAATTAAGTAATATTTCATTTGTCATTAAATTTTTGTGATATTCAATTTTTTTTATCTTAGTACTTCCTAGAAAAAATAAAGAATAACAATTTTATTTATGACAAATGTTATCTATATATGGAGATAAATGAGTTTCTAAAGAATGTTTGATAAATATTAGTATACATTTAAGATTGAGACTAAAAAAATTAAGAGAAATGTGAAATAAAATAAAATAATATTAGAAAAATTCATAAAATATAATTTATTTTTGAATTTTAATTATTTTTTTAATTGGCGGTTGATGGGTTGACCCGCCAACCCACCATAAAATAGGATGGGTTCATTTTTCTGCCCATATTTAATGGCGGACCAACCCGCCCAGCCCCAATTTTGGCTGGTCGGGGCCGGTCAGGGCCGGCCAACCCAAATTGTCACCCCTAGTTAGCTGAATAATAAAAGATGTTAACTTTTGTTAATAAGTTTATAACTCTTATAAATTATATCTTTTATTATTTAGTCTAACATTTGATATAATAAGGTTTGTATTTATTTATTTATTTTAAAAAATACTATACAATACCTCATGTTTTAGATAAAATATCAAAACAAATCCATTCAATAAATCCATTTGATACCCACGCAAGGTTGTTTAATATTTTTTTTCTATAAATATTGAATTTTATTAATTTTTTTTTTTGGAAATGCAGAATTTTATTAATCTAATTGTCATAATAAAGGATATTTCATCACATAATTTATCTCATTATGTAATATATTTTAATATAGTCAAATATAAATAATAAAATTACATTATTATAATATTTTAAAAAAATTAAGATATTTGTGAGATTTAATTTCTTAAATTTATATTTTACAAAAATATTAATCAATGAGAAAGAAGGAAAAATGGGTGCAGGGTGCATGCCAAATCGAAATACTTTTTTATTCTTTATCCTTAGCAAATATATCATTACCGGATAAAATTTCCTTAAAACGAATTTATACAAAATATACAAGTAATAATGTATTTAATCTTAGCTTTTAATAAACTAAAATTATGATATATTTAAAATTAAATTAAAAAAACATTTATATTTTTAAATGACATAATATTGTGCCATTCCAAGTAAAATACATTATTTAACTATAGTATTTATCTAATTAAAAAATTCTGATAAATAAAAAGATAATTGGTTAAATATTATAGTAAAACATTATAATTTCACTTAAAAGACACAATGTTATCATATTTAAAAAGATAAAATTTATGTACCAAAAAAATATATAATTTCCACTAAAAAGATTTCATCAAAAAACTATCAAGTGAATTAGAGAAATAATTATTTTGAAAAATAAGTTATTTTACCTACTATTTTTTATTTTACTAAAATCCTGTCAGAATAACCAGATGGGCTCAAATTCGTGTTATAAGAACTAAGGCCCAGTAGTTCCAAAACCCTTTTTTTTTTTTCTTCTATTATAAATCTCATAACCCTAATTGCCGTAGAGTCAGTAACCCAGACAGTCTGGTTGAGCCAAGGTATGGAATGGCTA